TCGTACTCTGTATTTCGCACCCTATTGTTTTGCTGCACCTCGCTGTTTGTTTTATGGTGAAGCTTCGGCAACACTTTAGAGCGGCTTTTTATGTATGGTTAATTTGGTTTGGTATTATTTTGTTTGTCTAGTTCTGCTCGTTATTATTATTTAGTTATAAGCGGCGTTATAAGCCAATTTGTATCGGGTTTTCTCGTTATATTTGCCTACCATGGTATTTCATTTTTCGATGCCTTCAAGGGTGCATTTTCTTTTCGGTTGGTTTTTGTTCTTATTGTCCTGTGGCTTTCTGCCTAGTTTTAGTCGCGAGCTTGCTCATCGTTCTATGGGCATGGTGTAGGTATACTGAGCGGATTTGTTTGTTTGCGGATTTGAGGCCCATCAGTATTATTCTTATTTATACGTTGGGCCGCGCATGGTTTAATAGTTGCTTTTGGTGAAGCATGAATGCATTTGCAGTCGCGTGTTTTGGGTGAAGCTGTTTGTTTTTTATTAGGCAAGGCTATCTTCGTGTTTGTTTTCATGGGTGCAGTAACGTGTAAGATCAGTCTTTGGTGAGGTACGATTTAATTTTGTCATTGGATACAAACGCTCACTTTGCGTGAAGCGAAGTGTACGATATTCCTTTGCTGGGGCAAGCTTTCATTTGGTCATTCGAAACAAAATCTCGCTTTGGATGAAGTGCACGATGTGCTTTAGTGGGGCAAAATACCTCATTTTGGGTAAAGCAACGTGGAAATGTGCTTTGGGTGCCAGGCATGCAACATTCTATTAATAACTTAAGATATTTATCATGCGTGTTAATACGCTTTTGGTGATGTAACGTGCATGTTTCACCGATATTGCTTTAAGAGCAGCCTTTTAGCTTTTCATCATTTTCCAAGGGAGGGTTTTTCTGAGTATTGGAGAGAGGGGAGATTCTCGCTTTTGAAGTCTGATCGTCATGAAGTTTTTGTAATATTTTCTGCCTATGGTGCTGTTTAAGGAGCCGGAGTCCGCTGGGGCTGGAAATTTTTTATCCCCAATCTGAATTCCCTCAGTCAAAGGTATTGTGCGGGGAAAGCGAGCAGTCAGAATATATTACTATTTTCACTGGGAGCTTTCTCTCACAATACCATATACTTTGAATATTTATGCATGAGATGATCTGTTAGTCATCCATATACACCACGTGATTGTCAGACAGTATAAAAGTAGCACAGAATCGGTATTTTCTGAGCATTTGCGGATTTGCCACCGAAAAGGAGGGACGGCGCTGAAATTTTTTGGGAACCCACCCACCTCCCCTCGGCTGCGACACTTCAGGACCTAGCTTCGCCGCACTCTACCTTTGGCTGGAAATTAGTTATCCCCATGCCAACATGAATTCCCTCAGTCAAAGGTATTGTGCGGGGAAAGCGAGCAGTGAGAATATATTACTATGAATTATTACATTCGTAATACCTTGTTGTAATTCCCTGTTGTAATTACCCTGTTGTTATGCGTTAAGATTTCCGTAAAATATATCGCGGGAAAGGCAACACTACCTCTGTACACTTCTTATATTATTATGTTGCATTCATGCTGTTTTCATTCAGAAATCAACACCACCGTGATGTTATTTTACTACGTGGAGAAAAAAAAACCAACACAATTTTCTATCACCTTGAATATACTAAAATGAAATTATAATACAAGCGGCTGAAACTCCAGCTGGAACTCACCGTGTTAGTAATCTATGAAGTTTGTCTCCGGAATAACGAATTATGTTAGGGCAATAAAACAGATCCACATTTTATCCTTTTTGTCCGAATCCACATTTTATCCCTTTTGTCCGCATCCGCATTTTATCCTTTTTGTCCGTCCGTCCGTCCGTCCGCCTGTCCGTCCGCCTGTCCGTTCGTCCGTATCCGCGTTTTATCCCAACAATTCTCGTGCACGAGCATATATTAAATAAAATTAAAAACAAACTATATATACCCTATACCTTTGTTTTTGTAACAAGAAATAGAAACCCTTAATCACGACCATTGGGAATAAATGGAAAACGGTCTTAAACGAGCATGATACAGTTATGCAAAAATCTTATAACATTGCTTTTTTGTTTAGTTCGTTGTGGAAAAATTCTACGGTTAGCGTTATTACATTCACACTTATCAATGGACCTTTCCCCTTATAACTAAAATTTTCATCTAGACAAAAATTTCATCACAGCTTGAAGGAGCATCACAAAATTAGTAATATTCGAAAGTTTAATCTTTAATCTTTAATAAAATTATTTAAACACGGTAGCCTGTTCAGCAGATAATATTTACAGCGCTTGTTTTCAAAGGGCCGTGTGTTTACAACAATAATATAAAAAGGACAAAAAGAATATAACTATTTACAATGAATTGATACGGGTGAATTAAGTAATTGCCGTTTAAACGACAACATTGAAAGATTGTTATAATTTTCAATAGTTTCACTTGGAAGTTCGTTCCAGGACTTAGCAGCTCTATACGAGAAACTTCGTTTGAGAAAATGTGTCTTAGGTTTGGGTAGGTTCAATTTAATTTGATTGCTTCTTAGATTGTAATTGTCATTTTGACTTACTGAAAACAATTTTTCAAGGTATCGAGGTAATCGACCAGTTAGTATTTTAAATGTCATTATTAACTGTCGTTGTTTTAGAAGTTCTTCTATTGGAAGCCAATTAAGACTACCTAGCGTTTGCATGGAACGAACCTCGTATGTGTCCCCTGTTATCACACGCGCTGCTCTCTTCTGCAGTATAAACAATTTATCAATTATCGAACAACATCCATCATTCCAGATTGTTGAACAATAATTGAAATGAGGCCACACTAAGGCATTGTAGATTTTTATCAGACTATCTCTATTGACAAACAATTTTGCTCTTTTCAGCAGGGCGATATTATTTGAAATTGTTTTACATTGCATTTCATTATGTTTATTCCATTTTAGCTGGTCGTCAAGGATCATGCCTAGTGACTTTTTTTGGTAAACTCGCTTAATGTTTTTTCCCCCTAATGTTAGTACTGGGCTATTTTCAATTGAAGCTAAGCGACGTCTTGATCCTATTATCATAAATTCACTCTTTTTCATATTTAATGAGAGCTTGTTAGCTGTCAACCACCTATGAACATTTTCAATGTCTTTATTAAGTTTGATCTCAATTTCATATGGACTATAAACCCTTCACAAGAAAGGCTTGTGTCATCAGCAAAAAGATTTGCTTTAGTTGTCTCTAAACAGTTAGGAAGATCATTTATGTACAATAGGAATAAAATAGACCCAAGGTTAGAGCCCTGAGGTATCCCGCATTTTATTTGTCTAACAGCTGACATCTTGCTATTCACAGAGCATATTTGGCTTCGACCAGAAACGTATGATTCGAACCATTTCAGGCTAGTTCCTTTAATACCATATAATTCAAGCTTTGATAAAAGAATATGATGGTCGACAGTATCAAAAGCTTTTTTAAGGTCTAGAAATAAAACTCCGCTAAGCAAACCTCTGTCCATATTGAACAACCATTCATTTGTAGAACTAAGCAGTGCAGTTTCAGTAGAATGTTGATGACGGAAGCCAGACTGCTGTTCCACAAGAATGCCATTCAACCTCAAGAATGAACTTAGCTGCAGGTATACCAGTTTTTCGAAAAGTTTAGCTACAGCTGAAATAACAGATATTGGCCAATAATTTTCACAGTCTGCCTTATTTCCTTCTTTAAATATGGGGGTCACCTTTGCTAATTTCCAATCATTAGGGAAAATTGCTCTTTGAAGGGATACATTGAATATGTTCACTAGTGGTTCTGCCACAATGTTAGATGCATCTTTTAGTAACCTTATACTAATACCATCAAGCCCTGGAGATTTCTTAGTTTTAATTTCATTGAGTGCATCTATTGTTTCTTGGAGTGTAATGTTTGTAAAGTTGAATATACTACCAAGAGGAGTCACAAAGAGGAGTCACAAAGTTCATTGGATCAGTGCAGTTACCTGTGATCTTGTCAGACAACGTACTGCCAATTGTGGAAAAATATTGATTGAAGGCATCTGCAATTTTATCATCGTCAGTAATAAGTTGGCCATTTATATCTAGTTCTTTAATTAACCTCTGAAGTTTTAGGCTTTTTGTTTAATAACTCGTTAATAGTTCGCCAACTTTCTTTGCTATTTTTAGCATTGCTTAGTTTATCTCTAAAGTATTCTTGTTTAGTTTCTTTTATGAGATTATTTAACTTGTTTTTACATCTCTTGTAAGCCTTATCATAATACGCAGATCTTAATTTAATCGATTGCTTTTTAAGGTAACCCTACGATAGCTCATTTGCTTAATTTCATTTGTCAGCCACGGTTTATATTCACTCTTGACACGACGTTGTCTGATTGGTGCATGTTTATCTGCGACGCTCAAAAACTTATTTTTAAAATCGTTCCATAAGGCATTTGGGTCAGTTAAAATAGCTGAATCCAAGGGCAAACTAAAAACCTCACTTAGATCGTTGTTAAACTGGTTAACATTATAACTTTTATAATGTCTAGTAAAGACAGTTTTTGGTGGCGCCTTAGGAATGCTGAGCTTTCGACACAGATAAACAAGACTATGATCACTGATACCAAGGTGTATTACTCCTGTATCTAATATTTTATCATCACCATAATAAGTGAGGATAACATCCAGTAGTGATGCTGTTGTACTAGTAATTCTCGTGGGACACTGTATGTGTTGCTGTAATTGATAAATGTCAATCAGGTCAACTAGTTTAGAAGTAGGCAAACTTTTGTTCTGCTCAAGAATGTTACAATTGAGATCTCCGGTTATGATAATTTCTTTATTTTCGTCCTCAAGTAGTTTTAAAAAAATTTTCAAATTCGCTAAACAGCTCAACGCTGGAATTTGGTGGTCTGTACCATGTTGTAATTAACTGAGGTTTACTTACTTTAAATTATCAGGGAAGAGGTCTTTGCGAATGGTGTATGATATGTTCCTTCTAATATACATTGCAACACCTCCTCCGCTTCTGTTTCGATCACGCCTAACAATATCATAACCAGGAATTTCAATTTCACCGTTTAGTACGCTACCATCTAATCTAGTTTCGTTAAGCGTTATAATGTCAAAAAGTTTGTTTTGCATATTTAGCAAAAGCTCATCATAGTGTTTTATCAAACTTGCTATATTTAGATGACATACTTTAAAACCTTTAAGTTTAGGAAAAAGAGAGCCGCTAGCGTGTGATTGTTGTCTATTTACATCATTACCCAGAGGGCTATTAGCATTATTGGCATTATCGTTTTCAATGGAATTAAACCTCTGTATGTTACTATCATCTGAGGGAGTAATATTATTTTGATTGTTCGTTTGCCAATTTAAGTTTTTGAAATGATCTATAATATTCTTGGCCAACTTGGCTGTTCCTTGCTTATTTAAGTGGAGACCATAAGGATTCAAGTGATCTGCTGTAATATTGGTATGATTTAATACACCCCATTTATTATTATGGCATACCTGTGATAGTATGCAATTTAGTTCTTTGATTTTGGAATCTAGGCTTGAGTCATCAGATCTGGTTATAACTTTCGATAATACAATCTTAGTATTTGGTGATTCCTTTACGATTTCCTGGCAAAGCGTAGAAATTGACCCAGCTATTTGTTGAGGGGTTTGTCGCTTTAAGTCATTAGTTCCAACATGTAGGAGCAGATAGTCAGGGGATCTTGATATTGCTGGTTTCACATAATAACGCATATCAGCAACATTGGTTCCACTGAAGGTTTGCACGTTGATATTATGCTTTGTGCCTTTACGCAACTTGGAGGGGTTTAGATGTTTCACCATGGAATCTCCAATAATGGCCACATTAAGACGATGGCCTGTCTCCGAGCCTGCTCTTTGCTCATATGCGGGCTTGTCTTTTGGCTTTTTGTGGCTGTTGTGATCTTTTTTCACCGTTTGGGTAGCAGAATCTCTCTATTGTCGCTTGTTGTTTTCATTGTCTGCATCGGTTTTGTTGTCGTTGGTATTTGTTTCTTCAACAAGTAGGGGTGAAAAACTGTTTTTTGTGGAATAGTGACCACATGTTCGCTGTTTGTGTCTTTCGTATCTGAAGAACATTCCAAAACAGCTTGTTGTTGGTCATGAGGAGTTTCAAGGTGATTTACATTTATTGGTTGAGTGGATTCCAAATCCTTAAACAATAGCCGGATACTTGTCATTAGACTGGCTTTCTCTTCATTAGCCCGTGCGGCTTTGTCTTGTAAATCAGCTAGCACAAAGCTTAAGTTGTTTACGCGTTCGGTTATCTTTTCGTTCTCGTCTTTTAGTCTGGCATTCGAAATGTTGTAAAATGCGGATAATATATCCTTGCAAAATTTGCCGTTTTTAATTTTGTATTACGCATGGGAAATTGGCAGCCCAATCTGGTGTTGGGCACAATTTCCCGTTCGTAATACAAAATGACTGAAAATTGCAAGTTTCGCATGGATATATTATCCGCATTTTACAACAATTCTCAACGAAACTTCGGAATATTACTAATTTTGTGATGCTCTTTCAAGCTGTGGTGAAATTTTTGTCTAGATTTGTTGAGATCAAAATTTTAGTTATAAGGAGAAATGTCCATTCCATTTAAAAATGGTATCGTTTATTGAGTTTCTCACTTATTGGTGAGCGGATTTCCCAACAGACAATAGACCCATTGCACTGAAATCACAAATCCTTAGACGGTCCCCCAGATGCTCCCTAACAATATCTGTTTGGGTACAAAAACCAGATACAGCGAAAATTTAACCATTCTAATACAAAATTGTTATAAAGTTATATTTATGCATAGATTGCTAATTTGTCCTCCAGATGCATCATCACCAGCGCTGTGACGTCATGTGCAACGGGTCTATTGGAGTATTGCCCAATTGATAGGGGATCCGAGGTACCTACGATATCAACATCCGAGAAGACGCAAAAATCTAACCATTTACTAATGTCAATGTAAAGGTAGCTCTTTCTTCTCAATTATTTTAAGAACTTGAGTAGAGATCCGAACTCGGGTCTTCCAAGCTTGAAAGGCAAGCTTGGTAAACCACGACACGATAAGTGCTGGTTGTCGTTATTAAATTATATTATGATCGTCACTTACTTATTCATCTTCGAACGTTTTAATTCACCGAAGGAATTTCCTATTCATTGATAGGTATTGGTGCTATGGCTGACGTTTCAACAATTATCGAGATAGTTCGGGGAAAAGTCGACGAGACGCAAGGACTGCCAGTGTAAAACACAACTGATACAGTGAAAAATTGACGATTTTGTCAGTGATAACACAGAAGTGTGATAATATATAATTAACCAATTGCACCCCTCCACTCCTTATAGGAATTTGAGAATTCCAGATGCAGAGTGAACCGATACCACGCACCGTAACTTAATAGTTCTGGATGAAGCCTTCCCATGGCTGTAGCCAATGACACTGTATGCCATGTGGTAGTGAACTCACTGTAATGACGATATTGTATAAGCATATTGTATATACTTATTGTATACTGTATATTTATTGGTATAATATATATATATATATATATATATATATATATATATATATATATATATATATATATATATATATATATATATATATATATATATATATATATATATATATATATAATTTCGCTTACCTCAAAATTCCGCAACAGTCTGTTTCATCAGTAAAGAATCATCAGGCGGTACTCACTCCCTTCAATAATATTCCGTACGTTGTCTGCAGAGTTATATAATGGACAACCCTGACTGGACCTCTAGAAAAAACAATGTGGAACTGATACTGTTATTCAGCATCACTATAAATGTATGGCACAGCCATCTAAATCTCAATTTAAACGCATCAGGTAAATCCATACGATCCTGGCGTTAGCACAAAACAGAAGAGAGGAACATCTAAGGTTGTTAAAGATCATAGTGATGTGATAAAGCGTGGCTTGCATTGTGTTGAACATCACGGAAAATATAAATGGGATATGATCAATGGTATTTATATACATAGGGCAGTTTAAAGTCTATATATAATAACTTTAAATTATTAACGTATTAAATTAAATAACATTGCTTAAGGTAATTACGCAGCAATTGTTCCCGAAATGAGAATGTGCTGAAACTTCCCAGGCATGGAGTTTATGATATACTTAAAGTAAAATCACACAAAAAAGTCGGGGTCACCGACCTCGTTACAGAGGAGGTTGGACAGCTGTCACGTGAAAATCTCGACCAATGAAATCGCGCTATTTTCCCATCGTGTTTGTGAAGATTTTTGGCCGTCAAATTTGCATTGGACACAGAAGAACTCAAAAAATATATATAAATATTCAAATTTTTCTATCAAAATTCAACCATGGCCTTAGTATTATAAAAGGACTGGCGATATGTGCAAGAATTTCTGAGGGTAAAAGTTATTTTTTAACCTGCTTTCGATTATTAAAGTTGGTCATGCCGTGGCAACGTGATGACTCAAGTCCGAGTTTGTTTACAATTTTCAAACTAAAAAATCTGGAATTTCTATGGTTCGATTTTCGTAATTTTTTCAAAAAAGTCAAGACAAATGTCTAAACTAAAAATCTGCTGGAGGGATCCCCGGGATCCCCCGGCAGTTTTCGAGATATTTGGCATTGAAGTGACCATACTCAATTCAACCTTTGCCAAAATGGCGTCTAATATCTGGGGAAGATATTGCGCCACCAAAGCTTGGTTTTCACAATGAATTTTGAAAGTCCCCCAATATTAGGATCATTTTTCTTTACAGTAAGTGTTAAATTACTTTTGAAAGACTATTTATAAGACTTAGGAGTTATTTGCCTGTTTTTACAGATTTTATATCTGGGCTGGTATTACTAGCCTGCATGCCCAAGTGAAATTGTCTGGTGGTAGAGACGATTTTAAAAGAACAGCACATTATAAAGTGATCAGATTTTCTCTCAGTAGAAAATTCTATGTTCCTTTTTAATTACAGCAGTTTAGATGTCGATATAGAATTGAAAAAGGGCTTCTTCCTGAACATCCAAGGGCAGGAACAACTGACGATGTTGAAGAATGAAGACATTTTAGCATGGATTACTAGTATAGATTATATTGTCCTTTATGATGTCTTTCTGAAAGTTATTGGTGAATACAAATTGAGCTGTGATCCCTCAACGTGGCCAACAACATGCTCCACCAAATACCTGAGCACAATATAGAAAGTGCACATACATGCAGGGATGGATTTACTGGGAGGGTGTGGGGTGTGTACCCCCCTAGCCCTGGCCAGAGGGGGTGCAGGAGGGTGCTATTTTTTATGATAAAGCAAAAAAGACAAAATGAGATACAATAATTTGAGTAATAACATGATAAGTGAACTGTGAACAATTACAATTCAAATACAGCAGTTGATGGGTGGGCGGCACACATGACCGACACAATTTGGCAGTCGGCACCAGAGCACCCCCCTACCAGATCATGCTGGATCCATCCCTGCATACATGAACTGTATCATATTTAATTAATGCTTGAGCATATTTGTTCAAATTTATTGACATTAATAATTAAATTATGTTTGTTATAGTAGTGTACATTTTGCACCAGCCACTCTTGAAATTAGACGTCAGCCACTTTTTAACTAGATGGCCATGGATGACCTAAGAAATTGTTTTCTTTATTAAACAGCAACTTGCAAGCTTTGTGATATTTCTTGAATACCTCAAAAGTTGTCAGCTGCTGTTTACATTATCTACTTCATATGTTTCGATAATTTTTGTTGAAAAGATGCTGAATTGTCAGCATGTGACAATTCATTTCAAGCACCATGTAAGTTGCCACACATCACCCACAGTATTTTTTGGACAAGCCAGTTTTAACACCCTGGCTGGTACAGTTATTGTATATACCTGTAGTATAAT